ATTATAGGTCAACTCCAAACAAGCACCCTTCCATTTAATACTCTTTCACTAAAGGTGAATGTGAATATTTCACTCAGCTAGCTCTCTTACCAGGATTTATGTGATCTGGGATAAACTGTCTATTTTGGGAGAACTTACCCCATAGAGATCTTTTAAAAAGGTACATCTAACTCGTCTAATCTGCAGTTAACCATTTCTCCCTAATCTCTCAATAAACTTTTCTCCCTTTTTTAATACTGTCATCTGATACAATTTAGATAATTATCCAGCCAATATTCCTGTGAACTTGCAGGGAGAAAATAAGCAATTTTTAAAATGTTATTAATTCTAATGAGTCACTTGGGTCAGAGTTAAAAAATTACTGCCTTAGGTTAGACTGAACAGTGCCTTATAATCTAAAACAGTTAATGCAATTTCCTTACTTAAAATTTAATTAACATTGGGATTTAGAACACTTGAGATACTTCATGGCACATTTCCAGTTGGCATTAAATATTCTTGGTCTCTCTTTGGCTTAAGCAAATCATGCAAGAATGATATATTTAGATGCTGACTGGCTATTTCCTTTATTTCTAACTAGGTGAGTTTTGACCCTGAGTAATTAATATCAGAATGTACATTAGAGTACAGAAATTTGGCAGAGGGATACAGTAACACTGCAGATAAATTTCAAACTTAAAGTAGGCCAAGGACAATCTTCCCTTGTGCTCACATGTCATTATTTCATTTCCTGACTCCCTTCCTCAGAAATGATTAGCACTCAGTGTTTATTTAGAATCAAATGTACATGATGAGAATGATCCATGCATTGTTAAAACTAAGTATTACTCTTTTCTGTTACTTGAAAACTTGAGCTCTATCTTTCATGACTGTGATCACTTTCTATCATAATTTTATCTTCTGTATCCTTGTGCAGACTTTTAAAAAAATGAAAGTAAGATAGACTTATGTTACAAGATTCTCTAAAAACACATAGTTTTGATGCTACTATATAAATGAGATTATAGCCAGAATTAATTGACTATCCAATATTGATAAATGTATTACTAGGAAAGGAGTTATAAACTTAAGTACAGACACAAAAATTCTAAATAAAATACTAGCTACTAAAAAACTAAGAGTACTAGATAATAACTTAACTTACTCTAATTTATGACCAAATTTGGTTTATTCCAGTGATGCAACACTAAACAAATTAATCAACATAAACAGTTACATCATAAATAACAATGTAAAATATTACTATAATAATAGATATTAGAAATATTTTATAAAGATCTATAGTCATTACCTGTAAAATTTCAAGTGAAATGGAAAAAGTTTCACATAATAAAACTGTTTAATTGAAAATACCAAATATTATACGAGATGTTGACATTGTAAAATATTTTAAGTTTGTCAGGAAGTAGATGGGATGCTTAAATTATGGTTCAGCATTGACTTAGAGGTTATATAAAATAATATTCAAAGAACTCAAGGAAGAGGATTCACATCATCTTCTGATATATAAAGTTCTTGAAGGATTTTATTATGTTATAAAAATAATCTGTGTCAAAGAATTTGACAGCTTTATATTCGTTATTGACTCGTATTTTCCCTTTTACTAAGTATGGACCTCATATTTTCCCTTTTACTGAGATCTCTGCTCAGAGAATTTAGGCATAGAAAGTATGTATTAACTAATGTATTAATAGGACTGTATGCCATGATAGTGTTTATAAAATATTTGAAGAATCCAAAATATGTACTTTCATTTTCTTCCAGTTTATTGAGATTTAATTGACATATAGCACTGAATAAGTTTAAGGTATACAGCATAATGATTTGACTTATGTATTTTATGAAAGGATTACCACAGTAAGTTAAGTGAACATCAGTCATTTTATACAGACATAAATAAAAGAAAAAATATTTTTCCTTGTAATGAGAACTCGGATTTATTCTCTTAACAGTTTTCATATATAACATACAGCAGTGTTAATTTTATTAATCATATTGTAAACTACATCCCTTGTACTTACCTATAACTAGAAGTTTGTACCTTTTGACTATTTTTGTCACCATACAAAGATACTACATTATTCCTGACTATATTCCCCATGCTGTACATTTCATCCCCATGTCTCATACTGGAAGTTTGTACTTCTTTAATTTTCCTCAACTATTTCAATCATCCTCCCACCTCCCTCCCTCTAGCAAACACCTGTTTATTCTCTATATCTATGAGTTTGTTTCTATTATGTTATGTTTATTCATTTGTTTTTTAGATTCCACATATGAGTGATATCTTGAGGTATTTGTCTTTTACTGCCTCATTTCACTTAGCATAATACTCTCTAGGTCTATCCATGTTGCCACAAATGACAAGATTCATTCTTTTTTATAGCTAAAATATAACTCATTGTATTTATTTACCACATATTCTTTGTCCATTCATCCACTAATGGGGACTCTTTTTTCTTCCAGTTCCTTCAGGTGTAAGCTTAGATAATTTTGATAACTTTCTTGTTTCCAGAGGTAAGCTTGTATCACTATAAACTTCCCTCTTAGAACTGATTTTGCTGTTACATGTTGGATTATTACGTTTTTGTTTTCATTTGTCTCTAGGTATTTTTTTTTAGTTCTCCCTTGATGTTTTTCAAGGACACATTCATCATTTAGTAGCATATTGTTTTGTCTCCATGTGTTTGTGTTTTTTGTGGTTTATTTCTTGTAGTTCTAATCTCAAGGTATTATAGTCATAAAAGATGGCCTAAATCTATTCTTTTTAAAATTGTTTTTTCTGTTTAGCTTGATTTCCACTACTCTGCCATCCGTTCATTGTTCTATTCCTCTGTATCATCTAATCTATTTTTGGTTCCTTCTAGTTAGTGTATTTGTAATTTTAGTTATTATATTTATTTTTTGGTTCTTTTTTATATTTTCTAACTCTTTGTTTAACTTCTCACTGTGTTCATTCATTCTCCCAAGCTCACTGAACATCTTTATGATCTTTGCCTTGATCTATTGAGTAGATTGCTTCTAATTGCTTATCTCCACTTTAATTAATTCTTCAGGGGTTTTATCTCATTCCCTCATTTGAAACATATTCCTCTCTCATCTCATTTTGCCTGACTCTCTGTTTTTGTTTTTATCTATTAGGTAAATTGGTTACATTTTCCTATCTAGAAAAAGTAGCCTTATGTAAGATATGGACTGGGGCCCAGCAGCATGCTGGTCACCAGAGCTATATGATCAGTGGGTGATTCCTACGCGGGCTGCATGAGCCCTTCTGTTGTGACAGGGCTGGGTCCTGGGGCAAACAGTTGTGGGGCTTCGAGGGGCCCAGGCTGGTGTGAACCTGCTGGTGAGAGGGGCCTCATCTAGAGGCAGCTTGCTGAGGGGCCCAAGGTTGGTACTCTCCTGCTGGTGGGTGGAGCTGGGTCCCAGAACACTGGCTACAGGGCCAGGGAGGCCTGGTGCTGGTACCAGCCTGTTGGTGGTCAGGTAAGTCTCCCACACTAAATGGCTGGATGGAGGATGAAAAATGGCACTTGCCACCACCAGTGTATTGAAGGTAGAATTAGCTCTGCAAAATGGCTGCTGCCAGTGTCTGTGTCTTCAGTGGAAGTTCCAGTTGCCTGTTTCCTCTCTCGGAGGCTCTCCAGAATCAGAACGTGGGTCTGATCAGGCTCCTTCCAAATTACTGCTTCTCTGCTTGGGAAGTCAGAGTGTGTGACATTTTGCGAGCACCCTTTAAGAATGAGGTCTGTGTTTCCTTCGGCTCTCTAGCTCTCCCACATGAATGCTCTGTTGGCCTTCAGAACGAGGGTGTTCTGAGGGATCATCTTCCCAGTGCAGAAGCCCTTGGCTGGGAAGCCCAGTGTGAGGCTTGGACCCTTCACTCTTTGGGAAAAACCCCTGCAGTTGTGATTATCCTCCTGTTTGTAGGTTGCCTACCCAGGTGTTTTGATAATTCTGCCCCTTCTACTCATCTGGTTGTGGTTTCTTCTCTTTATCTTTAGTTGTGGAAAGCCCTTCTGCCAGTCTTCAGATTGTCCTCATAAATAGTTTCTCTATGAGTAGCTGTAATTTTGGTTTGTTCATTGGATGAGGTGCACTCAGGGTCTTCTTATTCTCTGAAGGGGGTCTGTTGATGCAGCTCCTGTGGTGCAGACATGGAAGAGGGTGACATCTTGGCCATACCTCTCTACCTACTTTAAAACGGTTATAGGAAGGCATTTAGAACTATTTGAGAATTGATTTCCAGTTAAAAAGACATAACAGATAATGTGAAGTGTTGGTTATCTTAAAATAATTAGATATAAAACAAAGGAAGCAACAGATTTTAAATGTAGTGAATTTTGCAATTTTTCAATTGAATTGATAAAAGTAAAAAAAATACATAATAGGAAATCTATATAATAAAATGTATTAATGTATGGGTAAAATAATACAATTCCCTCATTTATAAAACTGCTTTCCATAATTTATTTTGGAAATTATAAATTCCATTTATAAAACTAATTTCCATAATGATTTATATATGAAGGAAGTGGCTATTTCCTGATTTATATTCGGTATTTATTAAAATCCTCTACTTCTAGGAAAGTGGGTTTGCTGGTGAATCTGTCATTCCCCACTGCCATCTCTCATTCTCTCTTTTCTAGCCTATTTCATAGTGGAATAGTATCTACAAAAACCTCCAGCTAACATACTTCATAATGAAAGACTGAATGTTTTCTTCCTATAACCATGTAAAAGGTAAGGATATCTGCCTTCAGCACTGAGTTTCAGTATTTATTGTATAGTGCAGAATTCAAGATTTTGTCAAGCTGACAGAAGAATAAACAGGTAGATCAATGAAACAGAATAGAGAACTCAGAATTGGGCCCATGCAAGTATGCCCAACTAATTTTTGACAAAGTTGCAAGAGCAAATGAAGGAAAGATAGCCTTTTTAACCATATGGCGCCTAAAGCAGTTGCCTTCTACAAGCAATAAATAAATAAAATAAAACAAATAAACCTCAACTTAAATCTTACACCTTTAACAAAAACTAACTCAAAATGGATCAGGGACTTAACTGTAAAATGTGAAACTATAAAACTTTTGACAAAAAACATAGAAAACTTTGGGATCAAGGACTAGGCAAAGAGCTCCTAGACTTAATATCAAAAGCACAATACATAAAAGAAAAGAATTGATATATTGGGCTTTAAAAAATTAAAAACAAAAACTTTTGCTCTATGAAAGACCTTTTTAAGAAGATGAAAAGCTGAGCTACAGAGTGGGAGAAAATGTTTGCAAACTACATATATGACAAAGGACTAACATCTATGATATATAAAGAACTCTGGAAACTCAGTAGTAAAAACAGCAAACAGCCCAATTAGAAAATGGGCAAAAGATACGAAAAGACATGTCACCAAAGAATATGGACAGATGGAAAATAAGTTCATGAAAAGACTTTAATATCATTAGACAAAAGGGAAGTGCAGAATCAATCTATAATGTGATACCACCACACACGTTATTAGAATGGCTAGAACAACAAATAGTGACAAAACCAAAATGCTGGCAAGGATGTAGAGAAATCGGATCACTTACACATTATTGACAGGAATATAAAATGGCATAGCCACTCTGGGAAAAAAGTTTGGCAGATTGAATATCTACATAAGTTACTAATATACAACCCAGTAATCGCATCCCTTGGCATTTATTGCAGAGAAATGAAGACATAGTCACATAAAAATCTATATGAATGTTTATAGAAACTCTACTCATAATAAAAGCTGGAAATAAACTAGTTCTTCAAAAACTGAATGGTTAAATTAAAATACATCATAACATGAAATACTACTCAGCAATAAAAAGGAATACACTATACATAAAAACCTTGATGAATCATCCAGGAAATTATACTGAGTGAAAGCCAATCCCCCAAAGTTACATAGTATGATTCCACTGATCTATCATTCTGTAAATGAGAATATTATAGAAATGCAGAACACATTAGTGGTTTCAGTGTTTAAGAAGGGAATGAAGGTGGGAGGGAAGTGGGTGTGCTGTAAAAGGGCAACATGATGGATGGAAGTGTGGTGAACAGAGTGTTCTGTATATTGAGTATATTAATGTCAATATCCTGTTGTGACATTTATTGTTATCACTGGAGGAAACTAGACAGGATTTCTCTGTATTATTTCTGACATCTGTAGCTGAATCTACAATTATGTTAAAATAAAACATTTAATTAAAATGAGATAATGAGTTAATTGGCCAAAGCATGCAGCTTTAACATCAAGTTACAGAGCTAGTTTAGTAAACTATGACTCAATGAGTAATTAAATCAGAGGTAAACTTTAGCAGACTTTGGGCAAAATGTGACACTTTGACATGTTTTATTTGACCAGGAAAACATTTTGAAAAAGACTGCATTAGTTTGCTAGGGCTGCCAAAACAAAATACGACAGCTTGGGCAGCTTAAACAATAGAAATTCATTTTCTTACAGTTCTGGAAGCTAGAAATCCGAGATCAAGGTATTGGCAGGTTTTGTTTCTTCTAAGGCCTCTCTCCCTGGCTTCCAGATGGCTGACCTTTTTCTGTGTCTTCATATAGTCACCCCTTGGTCTGTGAATTGTCTGTGTCCTAGTCTCCAATTCTTATGTGGACACCAGTCATATTGGATTAGGAAGTATCCATATGACCTCATTCTACCTTATTTACCTCTTTAAAAGTCCTGTCTCAAAATATAGTCACATTCTAAGTTACTGGGGGTTAAAACTTCAACATACAAATTGGAGAGGGGGATGCTGAAGGAGACACAATTAAGCCCATAACAGAAACTGACATTTAGAAATTAAGGGATTTCAAATAAAATTTAATCTCTATGTTATTTCTAGAGCCTACAATTAGTTATGGCAACAATTAGGAGTACTTGAGGAATGAGTCCCTGCTTCAAAAGCATATGCACAAATGCACTCAAGAATTTATAATACTCATTCATCACACACACATACACAATCAGAGCCTGTCCTCTTGAGTCCTTTATGAAATGCCTGGCCTTTGTGTCATTTAGGTTATGATGGCTGGAATATAGCATCATGTAGGCTTGTGATGGAGCAGGGAGAGAAGAGTGAAGAGGAAGACTGAAAGAAGCATGAGGGCTCCATAAACAAATAGCCTTCTTAACAATTTTGTAAGCAGTACCCTTTAATTGTCAAGAAGCTGGCTAGTTGATTTGACATTTGAAGAGAGCAGACAGGGTCTCTCTCAAAAGGGCTTAAAAAAAATTCTGTCAACAATGAATCAATTTATTACATTAATCCTTCTTTATTCTTCATTGTTTGATCAGGAGTTGAAATTTATTCCAGGCTCTGACCTTTCAGTTTACCCAGTATACTGATGGCAGCAGGTGCAATGTTCTGGTTTATGGACAGCATTTCTATGAACATAAAGAAATGATTATTCTTAACGTGAACCACTAAACCAACTTGGCAACCATGTTACTGTAGTTTATGCATGAAAATATTTTACCAGATAAGGAAAGCCAATCCTTTTATTAGCATGAAAGCTATATAAGAAGAAGATAAAAATGTGACAAGCATTTCCTCAAATGCAAAGTGAAAATCTCAAATTCTACATGATGCAAAACAGAGAAGTGATATGAAATATAAAAAAGCAGATGACACTTTTATTTTACCCTGTAGCATAGATGGAGCTTGCTGAAAAAGGCCTGTCATTGTACATACATCCCTGCATCATACCGTCTACCCTCCCAGATTTACTAAATGGAATGTCACTAATCAGCTTATTAAAAGACAGTCTGGAAAAATGTAAATATGCCACTGCAATTACACTAGGCCATTTTAGTTCAGAAAATAAAATGTTTATAATGTGAATAATTAACCTATGTATAATAGTTTATACTCCTGAAAGTTTTTTCATTTCTAGTATACCATTTGATTTTATGCTCATAAATTTGCAAGGAAAATTTAAACAAAATATGTTTTTCAAATAGATTTATGTTTGACTTTGCCAGTTCGCCTCAGTGTTTCCCAGTAGTGATGTTGACTTAGCACAAGTGTCCAGGATGCTGGGTGTCCAATCTAAGGAGACTAAATGGCCAGTTTAACTCACTGAGCTTTATACACACACATTCACTCATTAAGAATCTGTAAGGTTCAATGAAATAGTCCATAAGTTTCCTTCCATTTTATATTTTGTAACTTTATAATCCTGTTTGTTTGATTAGATTATCTTGTTCATATAGGGTGTTAGCAAATCAAGTAAAGCCTAAGGAGATCACAAATGAAAAAACAGAATTCTGTTTAGAGGCTCTGAGGGTAATTAACAGGTGGAATAAATCTATTTTTGCCTCTATGGCCACCCAGAAGAGATAATATGTCACATAAATTGTCTTGGAGGCAAAATAAATTTGTAAGCTATGGTTTCCAGAAAACTGCAAGTAATTTTCTTTAAAACAGTTTTAGCATCTGTTTTTCCCTCCTCCTTCTCCAGATATAACTGGAAGTCATAAAATTAAAATTTATTGTTATGATAATATGCCTTTTTACTAACTATAACTCATAATCTTAAGCTCAAACTTTGAATATTGAGTCTTCCTTTGGCTTTAGAATTAAGCGATAGGTGATGCCAGTATATGAGGAAAAAAATCTCTTGATGTGTAGTTGAATGTTTTCACAGAAGAGACAAAGATGAGAGTAAAGGAGAACTAAGCAAAAAGGTAGATTCTGTAATTCTGTATATTAATTATATATATGTATTTTATATATATATTTGGTTTGGAAAACACCAGGTTAAATTGATATAACCAGGTTTACCTTTTACAGTGCATTTCAAAGCCTTTAAAAGCCACGCTGCATGCAGGAAATCATAAGAATTCAAAGAATAAATCTTGGACCATTTAGTAGGGAGATAAACTTAATCTTCAATATGATTAAAGGAGTAATTAATACTGTAGGTATTTTCACAGTTAAGACTGCATTATTAAGTAAAAGCTGAAGCTCACTGAGAACACTTTGTAAGGAGGAGACCAAATGGATAGGCATGGACTTTGTATCCAAATCTAGGTTCTAATTGGCCTTAAGCCCTTCTTGAATTTGACCATTGACCAAGTGATGATCTATTTAAGCATAAAAC